AAAACACGTTAAAGCCAGAATAACTTCCGGTTCAAAAGTAAAACGAGCTGTAGTCCAATCAGCAACTTCTTAGTTCACCCACTGGGACATACCATTTCCGTTGTGTTTTCGTTAATGCTGTTGTGTTTTCATTAATGTTGTTGTGTTTTCGTTAATGTTGTTCTGTTTTTGAATTTGTATTTGTGCTTTGTTAATGTTGTAGTGTTTTTGTTAATGTTGTTCTGTTTTCATTAATGTTGTAGTGTTTTTATTAATGTTGTTCTGTTTTCATTAATGTTGTAGTGTTTTTATTAATGTCGTTGTGTTTTCATTAATGTTGTAGTGTTTTTATTAATGTCGTTGTGTTTTCATTATTGTTGTAGTGTTTTTATTAATGTCGTTGTGTTTACATTAATGTTGTAGTGTTTTTATTAATGTCGTTGTGTTTTCATTAATGTTGTAGTGTTTTTATTAATGTCGTTGTGTTTTCATTAATGTTGTAGTGTTTTTATTAATGTCGTTGTGTTTTCATTAATGTTGTAGTGTTTTTATTAATGTCGTTGTGTTTTCATTAATGTTGTAGTGTTTTTATTAATGTCGTTGTGTTTTCAGTAATGTTGTAGTGTTTTTATTAATGTCGTTGTGTTTTCATTAATGTTGTAGTGTTTTTATTAATGTTGTAGTGTTTTCATTAATGTTGTTGTGCATTCGTTAATGTCGTTGTGTTTTCATTAATGTTGTAGTGTTTTTATTAATGTCGTTGTGTTTTCATTAATGTTGTAGTGTTTTTATTAATGTCGTTGTGTTTTCATTAATGTTGTAGTGTTTTTATTAATGTTGTTCTGTTTTCATTAATGTTGTAGTGTTTTTATTAATGTCGTTCTGTTTTTATTAATGTCGTTGTGTTTTAATTAATGTTGTAGTGTTTTTATTAATGTTGTTCTGTTTTCATTAATGTTGTAGTGTTTTTATTAATGTCGTTCTGTTTTTATTAATGTCGTTGTGTTTTTATTAATGTCGTTGTGTTTTCATTAATGTTGTTCTGTTTTCATTAATGTTGTTGTGTTTTTATTAATGTCTTTGTGTTTTCATTAATGTTGT